CCCCACCCTCTATTCAACTAATTCTACACTTGGCCTCCCCACCATGGACCCAGTTACTTCCTGGGAACCACTCAATGGCTTCCAGCTCCTAAATAACTCTCTATGCTTCACTACCAACAACACATCCTCATACATTGGGCTGTTCAACCCGACCGTCCAAGATTATGCCGGCAATGGCTCCTTGGGTTACATGCTTAAACTCCAGGGCCTTTCCCCTACCTTCAACAACACTGATGTAGCCTCGGTCCTCGCTGCACTAGGGACAATAATAACAGGGGAGGCGGAGGGGACCACCACCCCTCCGCCCCCATTTTGCCCTGCCATTCTATGCCTACCGCTTCCCAACTGCCCATGTACATGCTCCCTTGCACCCTTTTTCCTCACACTCCCTATACCGTGGCAGAGATGCCGCCCTAAGTCCAACCATGCCATCCCTCCCTTTTGCTGCCTCAGCCATCTAATCACCCCCTAGGATCCTGGAGACAACTGGCCCCCACCTATTCCTGTGGCATTAAGATCTCCCATACCAACCGCAAATCAATACTTGGTAACTGGGACCTCTGTGGTCCACATGCCTGCTTGACATGAGACCATTACTGGCACAGCAGGGCCTTCAGCTTTCCAACGGCACTTACACAGACACCATTCCCTCTACTTGTGCCAAAACCAAAATCCTTACATCCATTGATCACACAACATCCTGGCCCCCTACCCCCATTTGCGTGTGGCCCCCGTTTGCCTTACTGCTAGCCAATGTTACCTCCAACCCTCGGGGACAACTCAACTGCTCCAATACCAACATCACCTGTGTACTGGTGGCCTGTTGGAACCATCCTGCTCACATAGTTCTCTTTTTGTGTGAACCTGCAGCCCTTTGGGTTCCAGTCACCAATGCAACCCACTTCTATGTGATCACCCTTATAGAGCGGACAGCCTTGTCACAAGCCCCCACTTAAAATGGGATTTCAGGGTCACTGCCGCTCTCATCTCAGCTGTCATTCTTGCATTAGGTTCGGCCGCCACTGCTGCGGTAGCTATCACCCAATCCTCCACTACTGTGGAGACACTCAATGAGGGCATGTCCAAAACTTCCTCTACCTTTCACACTCAGTCCCTTATCAATCAGCATCTTCACCAGGCAACTAATGTGTTACAACAACAAACTGATCTCTTAAGTGAAGAGCTGGCAATTACCAGACATGGCTCTGCTAGCTTGTGACCCTTGCTTTAGGTCACTTTGTCTCACCCCCTATAAAGTACAGAATATTACTGAAGCGCGCCTACAACTCACGCACTGTATTCACGGCCACTGGAATAAAAAGTTTCTTAATTACTCTATATTACTAACTAATCAAATTATTGCTCTAAATTATACCCATGCCCCCATGCTGGACCTCAATTCAGGGTTCTTAGAGAAAATCTGGTCTAATCTAAAAACACTGCTTGACCCATCTTGGATCGTCACTTACCTACTCCTGACAGGCATAATTATTCTTCTCTCTACTTCTTAAATGCCTTGTTCTTTGTTCCCACAGTCAGAAAAAAATTCAATCACTCAGTGTATCAGGCCTTCAGAGCAGTACACGAAGATGATTTCAACCCGCCTTATTCAGCCCGAGAGACTTGGCTCACACAAATGTATGAGGCCTCCTACAGATAATTCCCCACCTCAACTGATCCCCCCAGACGATACCCCTTGGAGGGCTGGTAGTCAATGACAGGTAAGCTCCAGCTGGGCTGAATCAACCTAAGCCAGGACATGGACGTGTATGCCCATGCTCCAATGATGGGTAAGGTTCATGCCAGAATAGGACAACCTAAGACAGGCACAGTCCATGATCCTGGGATCATCCTGAGATGGAGCTGCCTAAAGGCTCTTGCTGGACAGTCATTTTTTTTTAAAAAGGGTGGAAATGTAGCAGAAGGCCTCCAAAGATGGTGTGGACCCAGAGCCCTGGGAAGATGGCGTGGACCCAGAGCCCTGGGATTCAGCGAGAATTCACTTCACTTCTTGGTCCGCAAATAGCCTGCCAAAAGGAGCCACGCCTCTGTACCCTGCTTGCAAGCCCAGTGACTGCTGACAGACTGCGTGGCATGGACCAATCAGAAAAGGATACGCTGACTAAAGGGACTTGGGAGCAGAGAAAAGGGAAATATAAGGCCTGCCCCCTCCTGCATTAAACGAGCCTGCAGCACCTAACCTAGTGCTTACTTCTACCTGACTCCCGGGGTCTGTGTGTTGTGACTCCGCGCGTCTTGCCCCCCTAATCGGCAGGGGACCCGATCCAGGTTAGGGTCTTCACAGCTGGCCTGAGGAGAACCCTCAACACCTAAGGCTTTGTTTTATTTTGTAAAATGAAGATCTATTAGTCAATAAAGATTTATTAAGCACCCGCCATGCCTTAGGCACAATTAAGTTGTATTTAAGTTCCCCGCTTTCATAGAACTGAAATTCTACTGTGGGAGATAGTTGACGTCAGTGAAATACATAATACACTAAGAAGCGAAGTTTTAAAAGGGGAGTAAGGAGCATACTGTAAGCAGGGTGCTAGCATTTCAGCACAGCCAGGTAGTCTGCATGGAGAAAGTGACACATGACCACAGAACTAAAGATAAGGAAGGCAGGCAGGCAGGCAGGTGTAGGGGAGGAGCACTCCATGCAAATGAAACAGCTACCAGCAGTAGGGATGCCCAATAAGCTTAGGAGTCCCACTGCCAGGCCAGCATGGCAGCACAGTAAGAGTGGAACCGTGGCTGTGGCATCATGGAAGGCCTTAAATACACTGGAAGGGATTTTGGCTTCCTCTGGGAGTAAGGTGAAAAACTGCCAGAGGATTCTGAGTTGAGGAGACATATGATCTGACTTCAAGAGAATCTCTTTGGATGTGGTGTTCACAGTACACTCCAGAAAGTGAAGGCTAAAATGGGGGAACAGCAAAGAGCCTGCTGAAATGATCCAAAGGATCACAGTGGTGGCCATGGAGACTGTGAAGTCCCTAACTTCTAGATAAAGGGAACACAAAATCTGCCATTACAGAATATTCCAAACATAATCAAAAATAGAAAAAGTATGAACTTTTGTGCACCATTGATCGATACACTTCAACAATTCGCTTCAATTCCCACCTAAGATCAATCCTGTCAATATTTTATTTATACTCTCCAGTCCTAGTCTCCCTCCACTAGGAGATTACTCAGAAGCAAATGCCAGACATCTATCTGATCATTTTACAGCAATTTTTAAAATTTCTCCATTCTTGAAGAGCAGATGCCTGTTAGGAATCCAGGTGGAGATGCCAACAGGCTGTCTGACCAGAGGATAGGTACTGCCACCAGACCTTATACTACCACTCAGTACATGGGGCATAAGGGGAGGAGGGGTCCAGGAGGAATTTCAGGGTCTCCTAATTCAGCACTCCAAACTTGGAGGATTAACTGTGCTAATCCCAGTAAGGTGCTCAAACTAGGAGCTCTCTAAATGATAGCAGTTATTTTTGCTCCTTTTATCTCTGTTGCCTAAAATAGTTTAAATTCAAGAAAGACAAAGAACTAACCGAGTTCTTCAAATACATCCTTAAGAATATAGAAGCAAAAATGCAACAAATGACTTGTACAAACTTTACACAGTATCTATGATACTCAGGCATTTACAGGATGCTTCACTGATCAATTTATCTCACTGGTAAAAGTATGATTCACTGTAACGGACTTAACTCATTTTCACCTGTGTAAACTAGCTTGTCAGCGTTAGATCGCTTTGCCGTTTAAAAAACAAAAGTTCTAAATTTGTAGAATAGTCGAAGGGCAAAGTGTGTGATTTTAGGAAGGAAAAGTCTGAGGCATTTTACCACACCTTACATATATGGGTACCTCTGAGGTCTTACGATCAGTCTTAGCTCGGGGGTCCCCTGGGCTCGACTCTCCCGGGCAGAGCGGGTCTTTGTTTGGCGGGAGCCCGGCTCTGACTCCATTCCGCTGGGCTGACTCCGGAAGGCCACCGCGGGCAAGAGAATGGTTCTGTCTGCAGGTCGGGGATCCAGCCGGGTTACCTTAATACACGCACAGCCGCCGCTGTGGCTGGGTCTAAAGTTTTGCCGCGCTCCAGAAAGTCGATCATTTCAGGTATTGCGGGGTCTGGAGGGCGGAGGACCGCGGCCACCAGGGGACCGCCACCGAGCATCCTCGCGGGTCTCCCCGCCACCTCTGGGAACCCGGCTGGATCCAGCGCTCTGCGTTCCGCCTCCGCGACCCCTCGGAAACCCACTCTGGCTCCGCGGTGCTCCTCGGTGGCCGGAACAAAGTAGGCCCGACGTCCCGGAGGGTCAGCCTGCGAGGCGACCAGGGCGACGCCACCCGCGCCCGGAAGCACGGCCGCACCTGTGGCGGCCCCGAAACCCGCCCCAGCCCGCGCCCACCTGCGCCAACCAGCCCCGGAGGACGAGCGCGCGGCGGTGGGAGAGCGCCCACCGAGGCCAGCCCGCGCGCCATCGGGGCATCGCTGCCCCCCTCACCTGCTAGGCCGCCGGAAGAAGGCGCGTGGCCGCGGGCACCGAAACCCAGAGCGCTCAGGGGCGGGACCGACGGGGCGGCGGAGCCAGCTGCGCCCCGCCCTGGCTCCGTCAGAGCGGCGCCGGCACCTCACCTGAGGTAGTCAGCCTGCTTTGGCAGGGTAGTTAGGGGCTGGGTGGGCTCAGCGCCAGGCTGCTTCCACCCCCTTCTCCCTTTTGAATGTTTAATACCGAAGGTGCCTGTATTTGTGCCTCCGACACAAGCAGACTGCGTGGGAGACAGTGGTTAAAGGCTAGGACAAACAAGATGAAATCCAGTATTTTAATTTTTAATATAAATTATGTAAATAGTTTCCAAAAGTATCTAAAATATGTCACTGTACAACACACAACAACGGTATCTGAGAAGCTAGAGGCAAGCTGTAAATAAGGCACAAAGTTTATTTACATTCATAATTGCATCCTGTACTATTTTATAAATCACATTTACAACACCCCATAAAGTTTTTATATTCTGGATGTCTCCTTCACATTTTCTGATATTTAGCATAACATTCAAACATACTTCACACTGCGACCTCCTCTCCCTAAACCATACACAAGACAAAATAAATATTAGAGGAAAATACTGAGTACTTGATTTACTTCAAGGTGACAGAAGTCAGTTCTTTGTGATACTATAAAAACTGAGCAATTAACAAATTGCTTGTAATTCACCAGAAGAGTGTATAACTCTGTTCAAGTACCACTGAATAAATTGAAATCATCTTTCAAGTAGCAATGTGAGTGGCAGGCTGCTTTTATGTCTCATCACTGTCATAGTCCTCTATTATTATATCTTCTTCTTCCATGTCCCCTTGGGAGGAAAAGGGCTGAGGCTGGCTAGCAGGCAGGTCACTCCCACTATTCTGGCTCAAAGGAAGAGACCAGGTTTCAGGGTCAGCAGTTTGAGTGAGTTCACTCCCAGCTTCCTTCCTTCCATTAAGCCCGGCTTCATCACCACTATCAGGGTCTATCACTCCATGCTCCCTGTCAGTCAGGGCTTCCATTTTCAACCTGTTGGGAATTACAGTGCAGGCATTAGTAAAATAACCCAAAGAAGCCGGGTGCGGTGGCACACCTAATCTGCCTCCAGAGGCAGAGGCAGGAGGATCCTCTGTAAGTTCCGGGCCGGGCCAGCCTGGTCTACAGAGTGAGTTCCAGGCAGTTGGAGCTACAAGGAGACCCTGTCTCAAAAAGTCCAAAAAAGGCTGGGCGTGGTGGGGAACACCTGTAGTCCCAGCACTCGGGAGGCAGAGGCAGGCGGATCTCTGTGAGTTCAAGGCCAGCCTGGTCTACATAGCGAGTTCCAGGACAGCTGGGGCTATAGGGAGACCCTGTTTCAAAAAGATCCCCCCCCAAAAAAAACAAACCCAAAGAAGAGATTCCTTTAAATTACAGCTTAAGAGTGATGATTATGAAGCCACCTCCTCTGGTCTTTCCTTCGTGTGCTGTTTACTCAGTCCCTTAAATTATATATAAACTACAAAGTGAATGTCTAACTGTGAATAAATTCTTACAGCTTGCAATACAAGGAGGCTAATGAATGGTTGCAGTAAAGAGTCCTACAGGCTAAGATTTATATACACGATATATAAATATTGAGAGATGATGCTGGGTGTAGTGGTGCATGCCTTTATTCCCAGCACTCCAGAGGCAGAGGCAGATGGATCTCTGTGAGTTCAAGTCCAGCCTGGTCTACATAGGGAGTTCCAGACCAGCTGGGGCTATAGGGAGACCCTGTTTCCAAAAGAGACCAAATAAATAAATATTGAGAGATGGATCAATGCTTAAGAGCACCGGCTGCTCTTACAGAGGACCAGGGCTCATTCCCTAGCACCTACATGGCAGCCAATAAGGTCCATCTCCAGTTCCAGGGGATATGATGCCCTCTTCTGGCCCTTGTGGGCATTACACACATGTGGTACATCTACATATAATGCAGGAAGAACACATAAAAATAAGTCAAAGGCAGAAAGTTTAATATTTGGGGCCAGAAACAGAATAGACAGGAAGATTATTAGGTACCACTTCTATAACTTTTTGTTTTATAATTAATTAATTAATTAATTTATGGTGTGTGCATACATGTGGAGGTTACAGGACAACTTGTGGGAGTTGGTTCTCTCCTCCCACCATGTCAGAGATCAAATTCAGGTCATCAGGTTTGGGGATAATACCCACTGAGCCACTTTTGCCAGCCCGCTGCTATCTCTTATGTTCATCCTTATAACCAATAAGTAACTAAGTTTTTTGTTTTTAAGTTTTTTGAAGATGCCTGAATAATGAATTAAATCTAATAAATAAGCTAGGCTAAACAGATCTATATATACACACATATATACATACAGTCTTCATGTAAATCACTGCTATTAGCACAGAAACCATTTCCTAATAAAATGAACAGTATTATAGACTTTTTTTTTTTTTTGCTCCTCTCAATTTTTTTTTTAATGTGTGTTTAAAAAAAAAAATGCATGTGCACTGGTGCATGCAGTGCCCATAGAGGCAAAAAGGCGTCAGATTCCCTGGAGTTGTAGTTACAAACAGTTGTTAGCCACCACATAGGTGCTGGGAACCAAACCTCTGCAAGAGTAGCCAGTGTTCTTAACCACTGAACCATCTCCCTAGCCCCTGAATTTTCTAAACCAATGCAATATAAAAGATATTTCTACTTTTGAGGTAGTTGGTCACTGTGGTCAAGCACAGGCTAAGAAAAACTCTAAGCAAGAAATATGGAAAGGCTTCTAGATTCACAAGATTTGTTACTGAAGACTTTTAAAGATTCTTTTCAGGCTGGGGCTGGGGTTGGGCCTGGTGGCACACACCTTTAGTCCCAGCACTGCAGAGGCAGATCTCTGTGAGTTCGAGTTCAAGGCCCGCCTTGTCTACATAGCAAGTTCCAGGCCAACTGGGGCTACAGGGAGACCCTGCCTCACAAAGAAAAAAAAAAAAAGAATATTCTTCTGGAGCTGGAGAGATGGCTCAGAAGTTACAGAGGACCTGGCTTTGGTTCCCAGCACCCACACGGCAGCCAACAACAGCCTGTTACTCCAGTTCCAGGGGAATCTGATGCCCTCTCCAGACCCACTTGGGCACTGGTCAACACTTAGTGCATTTAAGGTGCACTTTAATACATGCAGTCAATACACTCATACACACAAAAAACAAAAATAAAAAAATTCTTTTGCCTTTTCAAATCCATGTGTGATGGCTAATCCTGGGTGTCAACTTGATTTGATCTGAGATTAACTGAAATGAAAGAGATCTTCTTGATTGGATCATCTAAAGCCAGAAGACACACCCTAAATATGGGTGTTACCTTCTGATGGCAGCCCATATAAAAGGCCAAGGCAGATGAGAATGCCTGGCTTCTTGCTGCTTACCTTCTGTCTCACTGGTGAGTTCGTCTTGCTGTAGACTGAAGACTAGCTGATCTTTTGGAATTTGTCAGACCTTCAGCGCCAGATTGGGACTACTGAGACATCCAGCCTAGTGGACTGAGACTGTGGATTCTCAGCCTCTCCAGTGTGGTGCAGCCATTGTTGGACTACTTGGACTCTGTCCTGTGAGCTAAGCTGATAAATCCCTATACATGTATATTCATTCTACCGGTTCTGTTTCTTTGGAGAACGTTGACTAATACACACACACAGACTGTGAAATTGCCCAAGCCTTATTCATTCTACTGGTTCTGTTTCTTTGGAGAACCCTGACTAATACACCATGATTCAATTTAGTCTGATATATTCCATTGGAGGAGGGAACATACGCTATTATATTTAAATATAAAGGCTCTACAAAGTGATTATATAGTTTTAAAAAATTATTTATTTTATATGTACAAGTATTTTGTCCCCATGTATGTAACTGTATCAGTGTCATACAATGCCTGTGGAGGCCAGAAGAGGGCCCAGAACTGGAGGCACAGACCGTTGTTAGCTGCCATGAGGATGCTGAGACCCAAACTCAGGTCCTCTGCAAGAGTAACCAGTGCTCTTAACCCCTGAGCCATCTCTCCAGCCCTGTTTTTCTTGAAAAGGGGGTCTTATGTAGCCCAGGGTGGTCTTGAACTCCTGATCCTGCCGCCACCTCTCAAGTGTTGGTATGTATACCATACCTGGCTTTCAATTTTTTTGTTTTTGAGACAGGGACTCCCTATAACCCCAGCTGGACTAGAACAAGCTGATTTTGATCTCACAGAAATCGGCCTGCCTCTGTGTCCCAAATACTGGAATTAAAAGTATGTGGCATCATGCCTAGCATCTGGCTTATAATTTTCTAAAATGAAATAAAAAAATTTAACATTTATTTGTGTGTGTGTGTGTGTGTGTGTGAGAGAGAGAGCGCGCACACATACATAGCTCCTATGTGGAGGTCAGAGAGTCAGTTCTCTCCTTCTACACTGTGGGTTCCAGGGAGGGAATTCAGGCCATCAGGCTTGGCAGGAAGCACCTTTTGCAGAGCCATCTCACTAGCCCTGGCTTACAGTTGTTTTGTTTTTCAAGATTTATTTTATTTTAGATTATGTGTATGTGTGTGTGTCCATGGACACTGAGTGCAGGTGCCCTCAGAAGCCAAAAGAAGTCGTCAGATCCCCTGGAGCTGGAGTTACAGGTGATTGTGAACCACCTGATGTAGATGGTGGAAACCAAACTCAGTTCCTCTAGAAGAACATATGTTACCTCTAACCTGCTCAGCCAACTCTCCAGCCCCAGTTTTTTTTTTTTTTTAAGATTTATTTTTGGGGCTGGAGAGATGGCTCAGCAGTTAAGAACACTGGTTGTTCTTGCAGAAGATCCAGGTTCGAATCCCAGCACTCACATGGCAGCTAACAACTGTCTGAAACTCCAGTTCTAGGGGATCCAACAGCCTCTTCTATCCTCCATGGGCATTGCACAACACAGATGCACTTACACACAGGCAATACATGCACACACAAAAAAAAGTTTTCATTTATGTGTATGTGTATGTCTGTGTGAATGTATGCCACATGTGTGCAGGTACCTATAAGGTCCAGAAGACATCAGATCCCGTGGAGCTAGAGTTACAGGAGATGACAAGATGCCTGATGTGGGTGATGGGAACAGAACTCATCCTCTGGAAGAACAGTAACTGCTCTTAACCACTGAGTCATCTCTCCAGCTCTGGTTTTTAAATCACTGTATACAGTATACATTATTATGTGTTTTACAGACAATATTTACTGACTGTATGCTAACATATTCAGTGGACAGTTTAGTAACAATTCTTTTTTTTTTTTTTTTTTGTTTTTTTTGAGTTTGGGTGCTGCTGTAGCCTTAGCTGGTCTGGAACTAGCTGTGTACCCCATGTTGGCCTTGAACTCACAGAGATCCGCCTGCCTCTGCCTCCCAAGTTCTGGCATTAAAAGGCATGCGTCACCATGTCCGGCTTAGTAACAATTCTTTAGAAGACAGTCAGCTTACCTTCCAAAGTGTCGCTTCAAAGGAAGTCTTCCAATATCTTGGATAAAAGAAATTTGAGCTGAAAAGATATTTTAATAAAGTTTTTTTAAATGTCATTAAAACATTTAATTTTAACTGACAAATTTAATATTTATGGTGTACATGACATTTTTGTATAAACACTGTAGAATATCTCAACCATGCTACTTAACAAGCATTATATTACATAATTTTTTGTTGAGACACTTAAAACTCATGAGCCAGTGAGATGGCTGAGGAGTAAAGGAGCTTGCTGTCATGCCTAACAAAACCAATTTGATCCCTGGGACCCACAGGGAGGAAGGAGAAACGCCTGTAAGCTGTCCTCTGACCTCTACATGCATGCTATGCACACACACACACACGCATATGTACAAAGTAATTGTTAAAAAAAACAGCATTTTTTTTCCTTTTTTATATTGTGTGTGTGTGTGTGTGAGAGAGAGAGAGAGGGAGAGAGAGGGAGAGAGAGAGAGAAACTGACTGCATGTATGTAAGTGCACCTGTGTCGTGCAATGCCATGGAGGTCAGAAGAGGGCTTCGGATTCCACTGGAACTGGAGTTAAGGATGATTTGTAGCCGCCATATGGGTGCTGGAAATTGAACCTGGGTCCTCAGAAAAAGCAGTCAGTGCTCTTAACTGCTGAGCCATCTCTCCAGCACCTAAATTTGACTTAATTCTCTGTATCTGGGCTTATTTAACTGAATGTCCTCAAGACTCAAGAAATTTTTTTTTTTTTTGGTCTTTTTGACACAGGGTCTCCCTGCAGCCCTAGCTGGCCTGGAACTCACTATGTAGACCAGGTTGGCCTTGAACTCACAGAGATCCACCTACCTCTGCCTCCTGAGTGCTGGGATTAAAGGTGTGCGCCACCATGCCTGGCAAGAAATTTCTTTTTTAAAACAGACAATTCTTCAAAGAAAACATACAAAAGGCCAATAAAGTACCTGAAAAAATGCTGACCATGATTAAGCTCTTGGGAAAAGCAAACAAACAAATGACAGTGAGATACCACTGCATAGCTAGTAGTATGGTTATTAAAATTTGGATGGTGAGCCTGCAAAACTTAAAACAGGAGTGGAGAGATGGCTCCTTGGTTAAGAACACTGGCTGCTCCTGAAAAGGGCCTGGGTTCAGTTCCCAGAATCCGCATGGCAGCTAACAACTTTTCACATCTCCAGTTCCAGAGAATCTGACATCTTCTTCTGGCCCCTGCAGGCATTGCATGCATATGATAGACATATACATGCAGACAAAACACTTATACACATAAAATTTATTAAAAAAATCCAACAACAACAAAAAATTAGAATCATATATGGTCCAACAATTCCACTTAGGAGTATGAAAAAAAAAAATCAAAAGCAGAGTCTCAGGGCTGGAGAGATGGCTCAGTGGTTAAGAACATTTGCTGCTCTTCCAGAGTACCCTGAGCAAAATTCTAGCACCCACATCAGGCTATTGTGAACTGCCTGTAACTCCAATTACAGGGGATTTGATACCCTCTTCTGCCCTCTGCAGGCACGTTCATGCAGATGGTGCACATATAGACACTCAAGAACACACATAAATAAAATAAGAATTTTTTAAAAAGCAGATCTCAAAAGAGATGTTTTGGGCCAGCCAGCTCAGTGGGTAAAGGCATCTGCTGCCAAGCCTGATAATCTGAGTTCAATCCCTAGGACCCACATGGTAGAAGAGAACCAACTCCTACAAGTTGTCCTCTGACCTCCACACATGCCACAGGGCATGTGTATACACATACACACACACACACACACACACACACACACACACACACACACACACACCAATTTAAAGAAATGGTTGTATATTCATGTTTATAAGAGCATAATGGGGCTGGAGAGATGGCTCGGCAGTTAAGAGGACTGACTGCTCTTGCCAGGTTTGATTCCCAGTAGTTCCAGCAAATCCAATGCCTTCTTCTGACCTCTGCTGGCACTGCATGATATGGTGCACTTACACATAAGCATTTCAGACTAGGGACGCTTAACCTATAGTCAAAAGATGCAAGCAATAATTAACTGAATGAATGAAGTCAGGTGTGGTAATACATGCCTGTAACCCCAGTACTCAGGCTGGCATACACAAATCAGGCCCTAACTTTGATTTCCAGTATTGTTGAAGAAAAAAAAACTGCCCCTCCCTCTTCCAAAAAGCAACATTAACAAAAAGGAAGGTTCAGATCTGGAAAAGAAAAAGGCTAGAGTAACTCTGTAGTCCTAGATAGAAATTGAACATTCTATTATTAACTTATACACAACACACACACACACACACACACACACACACACACACACACACACACACTTTTCTGGTTTTGTTTTACTGACAAAGCTTAAAAAAGATGATCCTGGGGGCTGGAGAGATGGTTCAATGGTTAAGAGCACTTACTGCTGTTGCACAGGACCAGAGTTTGGTTACCAGCATCCATATCCAGAGGCTCACAGCTCCAACTCTAGGGATCCAATTTCCTCTTCTGGTCTCCTTAGGCACCCAAATGCACATACATACAGGATACACACACATACCATACACACACATTTTTAATTGTGTACGAATGTGACTGCATGTATAAAAATCATATATAGGGGCTGGAGATATGGCTCAGCGGTTAAGAGCACTGACTGCTCTTGCAGAGGACCTGGGTTCAATTCCCAGCACCCACGTGGTGGCTATGAACTATCATTAACTCCAGTTCCAGGGGAATCCAAAGCCTTCTTCTGACCTCTGCAGCACTGCATGACAGAGGTGCACTCACATACATGCAGGCAATACACTTGTACACATAAAATAAAAATAATAAAATATTTTTTTAAAAAAAATTAAAAAATCATATATAAGCCAAATAAAATTTTAAAAATTTAATAGAGAAAATCATCTGGGTGTGGTGACACACGCCTTTAGTCCCAGCACTTGGGAGGCAGAGGCAGGTGGATCTCTGTGAATTTGAGGCCAACCTGGTCTACATAGAGAGTTCTAGGCTAGCTAGCTGGGGCTACAGGGGGATCCTGTCTCAAAAACAGCCCCCTCCAAAAAAGAGAAATCTAAACTCTATATAAGAATGCTTTTGTACTATTTATCCTTAAAGTTTGAAATGACTTAAATATAAAGTGTCATGCCACACATGGTAGCACAGAGGCACTCGGGAGGCAGAGGCAGGTGGATCTCTGTGAGTTCAAGGCCAGCCTGGTCTACACAAGTGAGTTCCAGGTCAGCTGGGGCTACAGGGAGACTCTGTTTCAAAAAGACTGAAAAAAAGAAAAATTAGTGTCATCTTTTTAAAAAAATGTGTAAAGGGGCTGGAGATAATGGCTCAGAACAGGACTGGTTACTCTTGTAGAGGACCTGGGTTTGGTTCCCAGCACCCACATGGCAGCTAACAACTGTCTATAACTCCCAGTTCCAGGGGATCCAACGCCCTCTTCTGACCTCTGAGGGTACTGCATGACACGAGTGCACTTATACACATTCAGGCAATACATTCATACACATAGAATAAAAATAATGATTTTTTTTAAATGTGTAAGGATAAGGAAATGTCTAGATCCTGACTCACAGACTATGTCCACTGCCCAAAAGTTGCCTACGAATATAAAACCTTTAGTTAAGAAAGTTAAGTATCAGTAGATGATGATCAATATAGAGATCCACAACTGGTCAATATGCAGAGAATTCTGTGGGGTGCCCAGCTCTACAAGGGACAGCTATACTACACCCTTCCACCCCAAATGCTCAGGAATCTCCACAGGAAAGAGAGTAGAAAGATTAAGAGCCAGCCATAGTAGACATCTGCAGCGAAACAGTATTTGCTGGGTATGATAGCAGCACCGCATACATGAACTCACAGTGGCTGTGGCTGCATGAACAAGACCCGCACAAGTTCAAACCAGCCAAAATCCCAGCATGGAAGGGAGAGAGGTTCATGAAGTTACATCCCTAGCTGAGGAACTACTGACAACTGATGGATACTCAGGGAGGGAGAGTCAGTTTTTTTCAGGGATGTGGCCTCTGAGAGGCTATCCATGCTCCAGGAGATGACCCTATACCCACGTACATATAGGCAACACCAGGTGGCTAAGTGGACTCAACAGGTTAAAAAAAAAAAAAGCAAATGAAATTGGAAAAGAACAGTGATGGGGGAACAGGGAAGAGTTGGAGGGGAGGGAAAGGGGAGTAAATTTGATCAAAATGCACTTATATGCATGTATGAAATTTTCAAACAATTTTTAAGAAGTACATTAAGTATCAATATAATCAAAAGCTACAAAGAAGGGCTGAAGAGATGGCTCAGTGGTTAAGAGCATGTATTGCATGTCTAGGGGATCAGAGTTCAGTTCCCAGCATCCAGAAGCTCATCATCACCTGTAATTCCTGTTCCAGGGGGATCCAATGTGCCTGGTTTCCACAGACACCTGCACTCATGGATATATAATCACACACACATACACATAATTAAAAATAAAAAATCTTAAAAAGAGCTGGGCGTGGTGGCGCATGCCTTTAATACCACTTAGGAGGCAGAGCCAGACAGATCTCTGTGAGATCAAGATCATCCTGGTCTATATAGTGAGTTCCAGGCCAGTTGGGCCTACAGGGAGACCCTGTCTCAAAAAGACAAAAAAAAAAAATGGCTACAAGATGTTTATTGTGTTAAAGTGGATATTTAACCTACAATCCTGTCTTTTGATCACTCTTGAGGTAAGCATTTCTAAGACATTTGGTATGCTACATGGTAATTATTTACATATTTTTAATCTTTTTGATTACACACACACACACACACATATATATATTTTTTTGGTCGTGCGTTTAAAAAAGTGCTTTATGAGCCAGGCGTGGTGGCGCACACCTTTAATCCCAGCACTTGGGAAGCAGAGGCAGATTTTGAGACCCTGTCTCAAAAAGGCCAAGAAAAAAAATTATTATTTATTATTATTATTATTTTAACAGAGCATAGGGTAGGGGTTTATTTACAGAAGAGTGGGCACCCCACATTTATGGCTACATTGTAAAGTCCACACTCAAATACCTGTGATCCTGTGACCTCCCGACAGCTGCACTACTTATATTTTTTTTACATATATTTTATTTATTATTTTTATTTTATGGGTATGCATGTATTGCCTGCATGTAGGTAAGTGCACCCATGTCATACAATGCCCATGGAGAACAGAAGAGGTTGTTGGACCCCTTGGAACTAGAGTTATGGACAGTTGTTAGCTGCCATGTGGGTGCTGGGATTCGAACCCGGGTCTTCTGCAAGAACAGTCAGTGTTTTTAACCACTGAGCCATCTCTCCAGCCCCCTTATATTTTTAATATTGCACAAATTCTGTATTCTACCTTGAAGATCAATACCAAAGACATGTATGTGACTGTTAAGGAAATCTGACCCTCAAAATACAAAGAGAAACAACTAATGGAAAATTTGGGAAAGTTCATTAAAAAGCCAAATCTTGGGCTGGAGAGATGCCTCTCCATGGTACTGAGAGTCCTCAATGAATGGCCTATACAATTTGACTTGCTGGGTAAGTAGGCCTATATTTGGAGCTGGAGAGATGGCTCAGTGGTTAAGAACACTGGCTGCTCTTGCAGAGGACCATGGTTCAATTCCCAGCATCCGTACAATGGTTAACAACTATCTGTAACTCCAGTTCCAAAGGAATCTGTTGCCGTCTTCTGACTTCTGTGGGCACTGCATGACACACGGAGTACACTTACATACCTACAGGCAATACACATACACATATAATAAAAATAATAAAAATATTTTTTTTAAAAAAGCCAAATCTCAAGAAAAAAAAGAAATAAAAAAACAACTCTCAGAAGAAACAACTTTTCCAAATGTGCAGTCACAGCAGCACTATTTTTTTTCAAAACTTGGAAATTAAAGGTAAATAAACTATTAATAGTTACCATTTTTAATAATGAAATCAGTTCAAATACCTATTGCTAAGCTTTTTAATAAAATCATAAATTTTGAAAACAATCTGACGTAGAGTTGAATACACTTTGCCCTGCTGCTTTGCTATCAACTCTAAATATATAAGGTTCACCAAGGTAAGTTGATAGAAGCAAATGAAAGCTTGTCTCATTCTGCCTCTTGCTCTATACACAAAAGAAAACTAAGACGAATTTACAGCTTCCAGTCTGTCAAAAGCTGATTACTTTGATTAAACGGGGTATTTTCAATTTTTTTTAAGCTTTTATAATTTTATTAGAATTTAAAGAGAAAGAAATCCTCAGGGCAAGCAAGCTACTAATCTTGGCAGCTGCCTTGAGGAGGTGAAGGGTAGGAGGAAAGAAAGCCATAGAGCCTGCCTGGAGGTCAGACACATGGCTGGGAGAAGACAGATTTAGAGAAAAGGTAAAGAAATGCAAGATGCTACCGCAGCCCAAAGCCTTAAAGAAAGCATGTTTAGTAAGAAAGGCATGAAGAAGAAAAAGGGAAATTACGCTTCCAGGGATGTGGGCAACTCACAGACTACATGGCTGTAACTAGGAAGTTCTGCACCAGTAGGTGGGATTCCAGGCAGGAAAAACTCTCTCAACCCACTAGGTATTCCGCCCATCTATTTAGCATAACCTTCTTAGGCAGGTATTTTCAATTTTAACCTTTTAAACTTTATATACTTCTGCATTATTTATTTAGAAAAAAGCATGTATTATTTCTGTTTCAAAAAAGGAGGGGAACACTTATCTCACAAGTACACTGCAATGAACTATCTCAAAAAAGATACATAAACTACTTCCTCGGAAAAAGGAAAGCCTTTTACCTTTATTCCTCATTGGGATGGTCAGCAGAGCGAGGTATGGCAACAGCTGAATCTGAAGACATACAGCTGGGAGACAGAAGTCCAAAAAAAGTGCTTTTGCTGCCAGGCAATTTTCCCGATACTGTACAGAAAAGAAACAAAACAAAACAAAACATGGAAGGATAATAAATTTAAAACATGAGCTTTAATGTCAGCTCTTGGGAGGCAGAGGCAGGTGGACCTCTGAGTTTCAGACCATCCAGGGCTACACAGTAAAACTCTGTTCCCACCAAAACAAAAAAACATGTATTGTTATGTATTCACAGTTTATTATACCACAAACTATGTGAGTTTATGTGCTATAAAGATTTTTTTTTTTTTGGTCTTATTGAAACAGAGTCTCCCCATAGCCCCACCTGTCCTCGAACTATGTAGACCAGGCTGGCTGCGAACTCAGAGATCCGCCTGCCTCTGCCTCCTGAGTGCTGGGACTAAGGTATGCTTAAAGATACTTTTTTTTTTTTTTTTAATGCAACCTCCTTCTGAATGTATAAAAATACTTTGAAGAGTTTATCTAGGGCCAGTGAGAGGTAAAGGTGCTTTCTGCCAAGACTGATGACTTGAGTTCAATCCTTGCGATCCACATGGTAGAAGGAGAACCAACTCCCAAAAGTTGTCTTCTGACCCCAACACATGCTACTTCCCCAACACACACTCAACTAACTAACTAACTAAATAAATAAATAAATAAATAAATGTAATTTAAAAAGTTTATCTGAACAGTAACTTATAATTGACCTAGATTTAACAGTATCATGTTAGACCAGCAGCAAGCCTCACACATCTTACATTTATCATGTCTCTCCATGGTATCAAGAGTCCTCCATGAATGGCCTATACAATTTGACTTGCTTGTTAAGAAGGCATATATTTAGGACTGGAGCGATGGCTCAGGGGTTGAGAGCAACTGGCTGCTCTTGCAGAGGACCTGGGTTTGATTCCCAGCACTCACATGGCAGTCCATAACTCCAGTTCCAGGGGCCCTCTTCTGGCCTCTGCGAGCACTGCATGACATGGGTACACTTACATACATGAAGGCAAAACACTCATGAAATAAAAATAAACTTTAAAAAAACCTGTATTTACACAGTAGTAATTTTGTCATTACACCCCCGACTCCCCTGCCACCCCATCCCCAGCTAATGACCAAACCCAGGGCTGTGCTTGCTAAATCCCTAACCCTGATGTTTACACAATGGTAAAATTTGCCTAATGATGCAACATATCCATGTTGTTTATGTCTCAGAATGTTTCTGTTCCTGTGTACATGACTATACATTGCTATAAACTAGTTGCTATGTAGTAAAACAAATCTCAAACTTACTGCTCCTTATTGCAAGTTGTATTCTGAGGTATATATATATATATATATTGGTCTTTTTGACACAGGGCTTCCCTGTATCTCCAGCTGTCCTGGAACTCACTATGTAGACCAGGCTGGCCTTGAACTCACAGAGATCTGCCTGCTTCTGCTTCCCAAGTGCTGGGATTAAGGGCGTGCGCCACCACGCCCGGCTAGGTTTAAAATTTTCTACTTTAAGACAGGGTCTCCCTGTAGCTCCACCTGGCCTGGAACTCACTATGTAGACCAGGCTGGCCTTGAACTCACAGAGATCCACATGCCTCTGCATCCCAAGTGCTACGATTAAAGGCATGTGCCATCAGGCTCAGCAAAGCAAGTAATCTTTTAAAACTAAAACACTGCTCTCAAAGCTGAGTCTACTTATGCCATCCCAGACTGTTTCAGAGGTCAGCAGAACATTGTGACAGAAAGAAACTTGGTAGGAAGGAGCATCTTTAAGTAAAGCTGATGGGTAGATATCATAATATTATGTGATTCATAATATGATGTTATATTAATATTATTGAGTATTAATTTATACTATTATTGGGTATTTGGCAGAAACGCATAGTTAATACTTGAGATTTGATTTAATATACCTACTTTACACAAACGTCCTAAGATACGTCTATGCTAAAAAGCAAAAGTGAGACTTTTACCTTTG